AAAAAAAAAAAAAAAAAAAAAAAAGGATGGGGAAACTACAACTTCCAGTAAATATAGTAATGTTCCATTTATCTGGTGAACTTCTAGCAACCTCACCATTTGGAAATCTAACAACAGCGAGGGATAATATGCTGATTTTTTTCACTTCACAGTGCATATTGTATTTGGGTGACTGGTTTTACAACTTAATTTTATAAAACAACTGTCAGTTCTTTGTAAATAACAGCAAATTAATCTCATCTGAGTCTAGATTGAAAAAAGAAAAAGTAATAGCAGTTTAAAAGTAGAAGAATCAAGATGAAAGTTGATGAAAACCAGCAATTTTCTACTTTTTTCTTAAACTTTTATTTTAGGTTTGGGGTACATGTGCAGGTTTGTTATATAGGTAAACTCACATCATGGGGACTTGGTGTACAGATTATTCTGTCACCCTCATACTAAGCCTAGTACCCAGTAGTTATTTTTTTAATCCTCTCCTTCCCACACTGTACCCTCAAGTAGGCCCCCATGTCTGTTGTTCCCCTCATATCCTTGCGTTATCATTTGGCGCTTAATAATAAGTAAGCACAGGTGGTAGTTAGGAAAACCATGTCTCTCTCTCTCTGTTTTTTGTTTTTTTTTTTTTGACAGAGTTTTGCTCTAGTTGCTCAAGCTGGAGTGCAGTGACAGGATTTTGGCTCACTGCAACCTTCACCTCCTGGGTTCAAGCGATTCTCCTGCCTCTGCCTCCCGAGTAGCTGGAATTACAGGAGCACACCCCCATGGCCTGGCTAATTTCTGTATTTTTAGTAGAAAAGGGGTTTCACCATATTGGCCAGGCTAGTCTCAAACTCCTGACCCAAGGTAATCCACCTGCCTTAGTCTCCCAAAGTGCTAGGATTACAGGCATGAGCCATCATGCCCAGCTGAACAGGGCTGTTGTTTTTATAGTTGGTGTTTATGTTCTTTTCTTTGTTGCAAATATTACGCCAACAGCCAACAATAAAAGTGATTGGTTTGGACTGGGCACAGTGGCTCAGGCCTATAATCCCAGCACTTTGGGAGGCTGAGGTGGGCAGATCACCTGAGGTCGGGAGTTCAAGATCAGACTGATCAACATGGAGAAACCCTGTCTCTACTAAAAATACAAAATAAGTTGGGCATGGTGGATGCTCCTGTAATCCCAGCTACTCAGGAGGCTGAGGCAGGAAAATTGCTTGAACCCAGGAGGCGGTAGTTGCATTGAGCAAAGATTATGCCACTCAGCCTAGGCGACATACTGAGACCCTATCTCAAAAATAATGATAAAGTAAATGAAAACAACAGCCCTATTTAAGGTGGGGTAGACTTTACAGGTCAGAGGTTTTTAGGCATCGGCTGGGCACAGTGGCTCATGCTTGCAATCCCAGCACTTTGGGAGGCCGAGGCAGGCGAATCACCTGAGGTCAGGAGTTCAAGACCAGCTTGGGTAACATGGTGAAACCCTGTCTGTACTAAAAATACAAAAATTAGCTGGTCATGGTGGTGGGCACCTGTAATCCCAGCTACTTGGGAAGCTGAAGCAGTTGAATCGCTTGAACCTGGGAAGCAGATGTTGCAGTGAGCCGAGATGTCACCATTGCCCTCCAGCCTGGGTGACAAGAGTGAAACTCCGTCTCAAAAAAACAAAAAAATAAAGAAAAAAAAGGTTTTTGGGCATCATTACTTGATGTTATACTTTGATGATCAAAATGAGAACTCGAGTGTTTAAAAAAAGATTGAATTGAGAAGTTTCATAGTATTTAACAGTTGAAAAGTTTTCATCACAATACTTAAACGTTTTTCTCTTGAGAGTGATTTAATGTACTCCTACATTTTCCTTATTTGGAGCTATTTGTTCTTGAGCATACTGGACAAATGAGTTGCTATCATATCAGCATTTACTATTATGTGTTTTCTTCAGCTTTTCTTCAAGTATAAAGATGTTAAAAAGGGGATATTTTCAGTGTAGGAAAAAAGATTCATGTTTTTGTTATTTGTGGGTTTTTTTGTTTGCTTTGTTTAAATAGAAGCAGTGTCTTGCTATATTGCCCAGGCTAATCTAGAATTCTTGGGATCAAGTGATCCTCCTGCCTCAACCTTCCCAAATAAGTGGGATTACAGGTGCACACCACTGTGCCTGGTGTCATGTATTTTGAGGGGAGGGATTATTTTAGTCATCTTCTTTATAATATTTCAGACTTTTGGGGTTTGACTATTCACCAAGAGAAATGTTGCTATTTCGTGCTTCAGCCATAGAGAGAATTACAAAATTATTCAAACATCAATTTTACCAGCCTATAAAAGAGACATTTTCTTATAGCCTTAGTTTCATCCTTATGGGCATTATTATATATTAGTACAGAAACAAATTCCTGTTATGACATCATTTTTTGTTTTTAGCAACATTGAGTCTGTGCTGTGTGCCTGACACTTGAATTGATAAGAAGAAAAATAAAGACATGGTTTTTGTCTACATGGGACTCAAGATGAAATTGGCATATAAAAACAGAATTTTTACTCTCTTATTATAAAATAATGCTATAGTAGCACTGTAAGTTCATGGATGGGGGCTTCTAATTATTACATATATTTATTTAATGAGACATTGCTTAAAGTTTAAACCTCATTTAGTTCAAGATTCTGGTGGAATTTTATGTGTATTTATTAGAAAGTAATTTAAGGCATTTCTATAACAATGAATATATATTTCATTCTTATATTAAAGAGAAAGAAATTTTATGTGCTGCTTGGTTTTGTTTTAATGGCACAAATATTACGACTAGTGTTCAGGGTTAACCAGTGGTTTAAATCATTTAAAGAAAATAATAGTGTTTAGACGGTCTTACTTTAATGTCTTGCCACTGGGTACTTCCTAGACAGTGAATCATCTGTACTCAGTTCAGTTCAGAATATATTTTGAGCTCTTTTTAAATTTTATTTATTTATTTAGAGACAGAGTTTCATTCTTGTTGCCCAGGCTGTAGTGTAATGGTGCGATCTAAGATCTCTGCAACCTCTGCCTCTCAGGTTCAAGCAGTTCTCCTGCCTCAGCCTCCCAAGTAGCTAGGATTACAGGCATACGCCACCATGCCCAGCTAATTTTTGTATTTTTAGTAGACACGGTGTTTTACCGTATTGGCCAGGTTGGTTTCAAACTCCTGACCTCAGATGATCTGCCTGCTTCAGTCTCTCAGAGTGCTAGGATTATAGGCATGAGCCACCGTGGCCAGCCAATCTCTCCTTTTTTAATAATACTCAAGTTCTCATTTTGATAATCAAATTAAAACATCATATAATGATGCCCCAAAACTTCTGACTTATAAAGACTACCCCGACATTAAATAGGGCTGTTGTTTTATAGTCAGTGTTTATGTTCTATCCTTTCTTGCATGAGTGTTCTTAACTAAAATTAGACGTCTATTGCTGGATAACTGTTAAATCCTCAGTAAGTTCTTACACTAAGGTGTAAAATCCCAGAAAAAAATGGACAGCTAACATTGTATAGCCGAGTGAAATGGCTGGAAGGAATGAGAGAGATGTAGATGTCCTAATTAATCTTGCCCTGAGGTTTTTCTTCAAAAACAGCTTTACACATTCACTGCATTTTTTTCACTGTATATGTAGTCGCATTAGGCTGTGTAACAAAGAGGTTTGTTTGCTTTAATGATTTTTTTTTTTTTTTAATAAAAGCAACTCTGGATAGATTGAGATTCTCTCATTTATATATTAATTTGATTTTATGTAGATACGGTACTTATTTTTCCTAGCATAAGCTGAAATAATGCCATATTGTAATATGGGCAGTTTTGATTGCTATCTTGAAGAGTTCAAGAGGTAGTTTATTTAGAGCATGTAACTCTTTGGAGGACAGTAAAGCAATCCTGGGTAATTGATCCAGTAAGTGATTTTTTTCTGAGGGCTGGGAAATATGGGAAGGGGAGATGAAATAGAGAAATATAAAGAGCAGCACTTAAAACTTTGTATTTTGCTAGGGCCTGACTTAGGGAAGAAGGGGTAAGAGTTATCTTCCTCCTTATAGGAGGAAACTGCATGGTGTGTGGCTCTCTTCCCAACTCATGATCGTCAGTGTATTTTAGCTACATTATTATAATAAATATGCCTTAGTAGGTTAGTTTGGGAGCTTAACTGCAATGTACAATGTTATTTCTTGAGAAAGATAATTTGAGGACAAGTGGCTTTTCAGAACCTTGTGTCACAATCTGTGGACACATGTATAAACAACAAATACCAGCAGCTCTGAGTTTATTTGAATTTTGGCCTTATAATCAAGTAACCAAAATAGTAGAATTTATAATTGCCAATTCATTGCTAGACTGATAATATTTTACTATTTGGATTTTTTTTAATGTGGCATAATTGTTTTAAGGTTTCAGGTACGTTCACCAACTTTCTTTCAAAAATGCCGGGACCAGCATTGGTACATTACTCAGTTGGAAGCTGCACAGACTGGTTATATCCAACAAATAAACAATCTTAAAGAGGTAAGGAAATATCTGTTTCTGGTTCAGTGTTTCCTGTTGTCCTTTTCGCTTATTATATTTGTAATTAGATTTTATATGTTTAGTGCTATTTGTAATTTTGTAATTTGTAATTGGAAAAAAAAAATCTGGTTATCCTGTTCCCCATCCTTACCAGTTCTGCAGTGTCCAGTTTGGTAGCAACTAGCCACATATGGCTATGTAAATTTTTTTTTTTTTTTAAGAGACAGGGTCTCACTCTTGTTGCCAGGTACAATTTCCAGTCACTGCAGTTTCAACTTCCCAAGCACAGGTGATCCTCCCACCTTAGCCTCCCAGGTAGCTGGGACTATGGGCATATGCCATGGCTAATTTTTACATTTTTTGTGCAGACAGGGGTTTCTCTGTGTTGCCCAAGCTGGTCTTGAACTCCTAGGCTCAAGCAGTGTGCCTGCCTTGGCTTTCCAAAGTGCTGGGATTACAGGTGTGAGCCACTGTGCCCTGGTCTGTATATTTAACTTAATTAAAATTAAAAATTTAGTTCCTTAGTTGCAGTAGCCACATTTTAAGTGCTTGCATTGGGTACTGGAATTCTAGAACATTTGCATCATTGCATAAAGTTGTATTGAACAGTGTGGCTGTAGTTTGAGGTAAGCTCTGTCAGTGACTTAGTTTCTCTTCTACAAGTTACCTTGGATTTAAAGGATTCTAGGCTATAGCACAATTAAAAGTTGTCCCATCTTGAACTCTTAGTATTGTTGAATGAGCACTGGGGGAGATTAGTTGATGAATTTTTATTTTACAGTGGTAAACTAAGGAATGTTTCATTTTCCTTAGGAACTTAGGATGTGGTGGGGTGGTTTGGAGTGCTGAGAGTTGTTAGTAGGTCAGGGAGGAAAATATGCTTTCAGAGATTTTCATGTTAAATATACTTTTTAAAACTGCCTGTATTTACTATACTGCTTGCTAATTGTATGTTCAACTGAGATTGGATATGAAAGGAGGAGGATGAATGGGGCAATTTATCTTTGTCATCAATTTTTTTCGTAAATAAAAGGCAGTAGGGATTCAGAAAAATGGTTTAAGAAATGGTGCCAAGTGAGGTGGCTCACTTCTATAATCCCAGCATAGTGGGTAGCCGAGGCCAGAGGGTCATTTGAGCCCAGGAGTTCAAAACCAGCCTGAGCAATATAAGGAGATACCATCTTTGTAAATAAATAAACACAAAATTAGCCAATCATGGTGGCAGACACCTCTAGTCCCAGCCATTTGAGACGCTGAAGCAGTAGGATCGCTTGAGCTCAGGATTTTGAAACCAGCCTGATACTGTCTCTAAAAACAAGTAAAAAACAAAATTAGCCAAGCATGATAGCACACACCTCCAGTCCCAACCACTTGAGAGGCTGAGGCAGTAGATTTGCTTGAGCCCAGTAGTTCAAGGCTTTCAGTGAACTATGATGGCACCACTGCACTTCAGCCTGGGCAACAAAGGGAGACTGTTCTTAAGAAGAAGAAAGAAAAATGGCTTTAGGAACATCTGGATGCATTTTTTTTTTTTTTTTTTTTTTTTTTTTTTTTTAAACATTTTTTTTTTTTTTTTTTATTTTTGTTTATTTTTTTTTTTTTTTTTGTTTTAAAAGAGACTTACTATTGAGCTGTCTCGAACTCAGAAATCAAGAGATTTGTCACCACCAGATAACCATCTCAGCCCCCAAAATGATGATGCCCCTGAGACACGACCTAAGAAGTCTGCATGCTCTGACATGCTTCTCGAGGGTGCTCCTACAGCTTCTGTAAGAGAGGCCAAAGAGGATGAAGAAGATGAGGAGAAGATTCAGAATGAAGATTATCATGTAATAATTTGGCCAGTGTTAGATTTATTTTGTGTTTGATAAAAACAGTAGAATCATGGCTTGTAACATATAATGTGCTGAAACAGTAGGTTGAAAATATTGTCCATTGATTTCCATTAGTAATGTGTGTATGCCCTTATGTAAATGTTAATAAGTCAGAAATTCTTAAAGTATTTTAAGGTTCTGAAAAAAAACTATACATTCTACAAAACAAACTGTGATATACATTTTAGAAACTAAACTACCATAAATTGTGGATTTTAAAAATGTGTTCTGGCTGAGCGCTGTGGCTCACACCTGTAATCCCAACACTTTAGGAGGCCCAGGTAGGTGAATCACATGAGGTCAGGAGTTCAAGACCAGCCTGGCCAACATGGCGAAACCCTGTCTCTACTAAAAATACAAAAATTAGCTGGATGTGGTGGCATGCACCTCTAATCCCAGCAAGTCAGGAGGCCTGACGTAGGAGAATCTCTTGAACCTGGGACGCGGAGGTCACAGTGAGCCGAGATTGCACCACTGCCCTCCAGCCTGGGAGAGGAGACTTCAACTAAAAAAAAAGAAAAAAAGTTCTATTTTTCTTCACTAAAACTAGTACGTACCTTATTGTTACTTATATGGGTAGAATGATTTAGGATTTGGAAGATAGCCAGATTCTATCCCAGCTAAACAACCAGAATCCGGATTAAAAATTCAAGAAGTATTTGATATTTTTTACATAAGAAGGGATGCATAGACACTTGTCTGTTTTTTGTAGTAATTTTTAAGATGAGAGACTTCAGTTTTATGTTAAAATGAAGGACCCAGTGGGTTGAGAGAATGAACAGAAGATTAAATGCTTTGATAAACTAGAGATAATAGGGTTTGGAATGGAGTAATCAGGTGAAGCGTAGTTAACCTTTGATAATCTGAGTTAAAGGAAGGGTGGAGTTTGCAGGTAAGGCAGCTGAAACTTTTTGCTTAATAGTGAGTATTTTTTTCTGTGCAGATAGGTGACAATTAATGACCTTGATAATGGTAAAATTAGGTAGAATAGAGGAGTAATGGTTTGAAATGTTACTCTCTGAGGAAGCTGATACAGAATATGTGAGGCATTGTAGTAGCACTGAAGGCCCAGCTGAAGGCGGCACGCATAAGTTAGTAAAATTGTATCAGTTAGTGTGGTTGTGTGATTTTTCTCTACAGGACTCAGCAACTGAGGCACAGGAGCAGAGAACAGACTTCTGATAACTGTATTACTCGTTGGTGCTTGTTTTATGGGCTGGATTGGGTGATCAACTGAGTGGAAACATTTGGAATAGACATCTTGTTTTCTTGGCCTTGATCTAGCATGAGCTTTCAGATGGAGATCTGGACCTGGATCTTGTTTGTGAGGATGAAGTAAATCAGCTTGATGGCAGCAGTTCCTCTGCTAGTTCCACAGCAACAAGTAATACAGAAGAAAATGATATTGATGAAGAAACTATGTGAGTATCCCACTTTAACTACTACTGTAAAGCATTTAAGTGGTAATTATTAGAAGCATATTAACTAACTCACACTTAAAAATAGGATATTCAGCAGTTTTTTTTAAAGATTGAATCAATAGCCAGTTTTCTCCGTCTTACCTCTTGGCTCTTAGCCAAGAATTTTTGTTTTAAGTTTTAAATTTTAATTTTGAAATTATTTCATGCTTAACTTCAGAATTCCGTATTTCCTTCACACAGATACATTCCCTATGTGTTAATATTTTGCTTTATGTCTCTCTGTATATGATTTTTTTCCTGAAACACTTGAGATTGAATATACTTCTCATTGTGTGCTTTTCTAAAAACAATGATATTCTTAACATAAGTATAATGTAGTTATCAAAATATGGCAATTAACATTGATGTAATACTATAACCTTCTAAAAATTTGCCAGTAATGTTCTTTGTCAAGATCACATTGCATTTAGTTGTTAAATTGATTTAGTCGTCTTCATTCTGGGTTGTTACTGTTTTCAAAATTTGTTTTTCATGACTCATACTTTTTGATAAATACAAAATAACTGGCCGGGCGCGGTGGCTCAAGCCTGTAATCCCAGCACTCTGGGAGGCCGAGGCGGGTGGATCACGAGGTCAAGAGATCGAGACCATCCTGGTCAACATGGTGAAACCCCGTCTCTACTAAAAAATACAAAAAATCAGCTGGGCATGGTGGC